GGGCGGGGGGCGCGGGGCAGGTCTGGGGATGGAAAGGTCGCGGGGCCTGAGTGCCGGAGCTCGCTTCCCGGCCCCTGGCAGCACCCCGCTTCTCCCAGAGAGCTCCTTTGCAAGGAGAGTCGCTTAGGGACAGCGAGGAGGAAGGGAGGGGTCTGGGGCCCACCGAGGGTGGGCACCCAGTAATGCCCAGAGTGGCGATGGCTGGTAAGGGAAAAAACAAAACAAAACAAAAAACAGTAGGGGCGGGATCGGGCCGTAGGGCGCCCCCACGGCCAAGTTCGCCCCCTGTCTGCACGCCGCTGAGTCAGGCCCGCGGCCTTTGGGGCCCCTACAGCTTAGGGTGTGTCTTCTGCACTATCTCATTTCTTTCTGGAGTCATTTGCTAGGGAGACATGCAGAATATTTTCTAAGACATAGTTTTTACATTGTAAAGGAATATGGCAACACCACAAAAGGTGTGGGGGATAGAGAAAAGAAAATTTCACCCACAAACCCATCACCTAGTTATAACTATTAAAATTTCGGTCTACTCCCTTAAGGTTTTTCATTCATTTAAAAGCAAGTTTTACATACTGTGATCAAAAGCATGTATTATCTGAATCTTTTTGTTTCTCAACATCGTCTCTTACATGTTCTTATTTGCCATTTTATTTGCTGGCCTTTTATCTATTTTTAATGGCTGCACAATATTCCATTGAGGGGTTATGATGTAATTTTTTTTAAACCACTAGCCTGAAAAATGACCTTTCCACAACTGTTGTGAGGCAGTACACCCTCTCTCTGAGACCTCAACTTGCTTGTGGCCCCTTTAAGACCTGATTTCTAATTTGGGATCACCACTTGTCTTCCTGCCAGACCCTTGCTCTTTCTCTGTGTTCCTCTCATCGCCTCCTCTTTATGACACATTCCATCAAGAGCTGCAGTGTGAATGTTCATGGTTTAAGTCTTCAGTGGGCTGTAAGATCTACACTAAAAGGGCACCATTAGTTTCTATAATATTTCATCTGAAAGCATTTGTTGAAGTATTTGGTGACTTGAATAAAGTATAGAAAGGACAGAATCTTTAAAACAGTATATTCAAGGGTGCAAGATAACGTGTTATAAAATGTAGCATGGAACAGCATGGTCATTCTGGTGGATTGAGATTATCTGCAAAGCCTTTCAAGAACATGAATGTTTTTAGTTGGGTCTTGCAGGGCATAATAATAATAAAAACAACAATTGAGATTTGAGTGCCTATTATACACTAGGCATGGTACCGAGGACTTTACAAATAGTATATTATTTGCTTTAAATCTCACAATCACTTGGCAGTATAGGTTTTATGATCTCCATTTTACAGATAGTGACTGTCTAGGGACAGTGGCTGTCTAGAGAGATCAAACAGCTTTCTAAAGATCACACAGCTAGTACGTGAAGAAACTGAGAAAATGGGTCAATTCTGACACTTATGGTATCCCAGACTCACATTCATTCATTCTGAATTTGTTCGTGTTAGGCACTATATATAAGCAGAGTGGGTCTTGGTTTTCTGGGTGGTCAGAGTCTGTAAGTGGAGTCACATCAATACAAAAATTTCCTTACACTGGGATGAGAGGTGAGCTGGGGTGTCATAAGAACACTTGAATTGGCACCTAACACAGGCTTCCGGGAGGATGTGAAATATAAATGAGTTTCAAAGTAACTGCATGAGCTGACCAAGGTGGGTGTGGAGAGAAGACTGGCCCAGAGAGTGTGTTTACACACAGTATGTGTGTCATCCTGGACACATAGTACATGTGCCATCCCGGAGTGTACAGGACTGAGTATATTCTGAGAACTGCAGGTCAGTCACTATTAGAGTTGAAGCACAAAATAGGACAAGGGATCATATTGAAGGAGTTGTATATGGTGGGATGTCATGCTTAGATTATAGAAAGATCCCTGGCTGCATTGTTGAAAGTGCATCCTCAAGATGCGGGCACAAAATAGAGCAATGTGGAGCAAGACTAGAAGCAAGATCATGGCATAGGAGATATTTGTACTAATACTGTGAAGTAGATCATGATGCTATTCCTTGAGATAGGACTTGGTCTTCTGCACTTCTGGTTAAGGGTGGGTGGACTGGAACTCTACGTGTGTGCATGTGAAGGCTTTTACAAGAGTGATGCATGATGAATACTTGTGTTAAAGATGGGCTGGAATGACCCAGAGCGCACTGCTGAAGCAGAGGAGTGTGGCCAGGAGAAGACACACTCATCTCCCCCAAATTAGTATTTTTTTGCAATTTAATAAACTAGGCTTTCAAGTCAGACAAATCTGGATCAGAATCCATGTTCTGAATATGGGTCTTTGGATAACTTACTAAAGCGTTCTGAGTCTCTGTTTCCTTATATACAAAATGGAAATACTTATAATCCCTAATTTATTGGATTATTTGGAGGATTAAATGAATTCAAGTACACAGTACAATGTCTGATAGTACATAGAAAATGTTCTGCCCGTGGCTGAGGTTATCTGTATCACCACCATCGTCACCATCATCCTGGTGAATTTACCATGGCCCAGAGACTCACTGCCAGCACTTTGGGTTCAGAAACTTGATCTGGCAGCATACACAGGGGCCCCTTCCTTGGGAGCAGTTTGGGAGTAAGCAAACTCAAATACTAAACTATATTTCAATGAGTTTAATAGCTGATGAAGGAATCAGAATTCACAAATTCACAAAACTAGGTCACTCTTGCCCTATAGACAGAACAATGTGGGGAGCCAAATTATAATCAGGAGGCTGCGTGCAAAGAGTTGGAGTAAATTCATTGAACAAATATGCTTCTTGCTCCATGTTAGGTTTGCTCCAGGTGAGGTTAGCTTTCCATCATGAGTAAGACAGGCCAGCCAGGGTAAGGTTAATGGCAATCAGGTGAAGGCAAAGTGTGCTTTCATCCTGGAGATAGCTTGCTGGTTGTCCTGGGCTACCCCAACTCTGCTGCTCCTGACTCTATCCACTGTAAACACAGCCTTGGTGGGTACTGGTTTATGTCTGTCAGAGTGACTTTTCTTCCATGATTCCATGACTGATTAATATAGTCTTTAGATGTGCTTATTATTCTTTACTGGGTTCACAGCCATATTTTGCTGGCCTAGAAGATTTTTTGTTTCTTTATAGTGATTTCTCATTTCTCTGCCTTGATCCTTTAAATGCTGGTTTCAGTTTAACTTTTAAAAGACAATTTTATTCTCCCCCTTTTCCAAATTTTTGGCAAGTTTCTGTCTTACAGTCCCATTGCTGGCTCTAAGTCAGATGTAGAAAAGCATGTTTAGCACATAAATGCATTTTTAAGCTCTTTAAATGTAGATTTGTTGGAAGAAACTCAAAAACTTTTTCAGGTATTAGCAGCTTTGCCAGGAAACTAGATGTTATTTGAAGAAAATATGGATGAGTTGTCTCTTCATATTTATGAGTAAGTTGAGAAGTAAGTTTTAGAACTGGATCAACTTCTTAAGATTTTCATTTTGCATCCAGATAGTTATGGAAAATCCCACTGATAGTTACTGTGGAATGATTAGGATTTTCCAGACTCTCTTTTCCCTGAGATGATGGAAAAGATTAAACAACTTTACAAGCTTCAGATAAGACAAGCCTGAAAAGAGAATGGGGAATATTAGTAATTGATACTGTTTTGTTTTCTGATTCCAGCTGTCTTTTCTGACTTCTTGGTTAGATTCACAAGTATTTGTTTGAAAGACTGAAGGAAAAATAGGAAGAAGATTGTTTTCATATTTCAGGCAGCATGTTGAACTTTATGGGGGAAACAACGTAGATACTGAATGAACCCTTTCAGGCCACCAGTAACTTACTATTCCCCCTTACCAAACAGTGGCTTGGGTGTTGGAATCGATGAAGCTACTAATATAGAGTGAGCAGAGAGGCATATAAGGATATGCATGGAGTAATATCTATTCAATTCTACATATTTTACAAGGGAATTTTATTTGTAAAAGATGAAAAATATGTCACAAATGGACAAGTGGATTCTTACTCAAGTTCTGATTAATTCATGTCTGTCTCAATTTTCCCAGAGTTTATTCTTCCTTGGGGGACATAATACCATTTAGCTTCTTTCTTGAAGAACACAATAGCACTGAGGTTCTCTCTCTCTCTCATCTATCTACCTCTATCTATCTATCTATCTATCTATCTATCTATCTATCTATCTATCTATCTACCTACCTACTTACCTACCTACCTACCTACCTATCTATTTCTCTTGACAGAGAACCAGACTACTGAAGTGGAGAGAGCAGGGACATTTATGTTATATAGTCTAAAACATAGCTTCTAATCTTGGTTTCACCTCAGTGAGGTCCTCAACTTCTCAGAATCTCAGTGTTGTTCATCTTTTAATTTAATTTTAATCATGCCTACACTGTTGGTTCTAAATAAGTTTTAGGCCTTCTTTCTTAAAAGTTAGGTACAGATGAGATTAAATGATAGCCTGAAAGCACCAATTGTACTTTTATTATATCAGGCTGATTCACTGTTTCTACCATAGTGCAGCAAACCTGACACAGCTTCTAAAATATTTTTCAACTTGTCTTTTTCTATAGATAAATTTAAGCATCTTTTTCTTCCTTATATTTTTTTTGCTAAAGCCTGTGATCATCAGAGGAGAAAAAGAAGAGACTACCTTGAAATGCTCTGGGCCCAAACTCAAAAAGCTCTCCTTTCCATGGAGCCTCCTACCATACTAAGAATTGACTAGGATTGCTTACAGGAGTGTTGGTTCAAGCATCTGCTGTGGACAGTTAGTTCCAGGGCTGATATCACACTAGATAACTTCAATAGTCACTTGTGTTTGGGAATATAGATAAGAGCTCTTTTCAAATACATAATTGTATTTTATTTTGAAACCTATATCACACTTTCAGAAACACTTCAATATAATGCAAAGAATTTTGTTCCTATGAACCATTTGAGAGTTGCCAACCTGATAGTCCCATGGTCCCTAATACTTCAGTGTGTATTTCTTACAGACAAGGACATTCTCTTGCATTACTTCAACACAACCATAAAAATAAGGAAATTAACATTAGTTTAGACTATCTGAAATTCAGGTGTCATTCATATTTTTCCAGTTGTCCTTTGTATGTTCTTTCTAGCAAAAAGAAAAAAAAAAGATTACATTCAGGCATTGCATTTAGATGTTGTCTCTCTCTCTCTCTCTCTCTCTCTCTTCCTGTCTGGGATAATTCCTAGGTCTTTCTTGCACTTTTAAAGATTACAAGCCTGTTATTTTATGTAATGTTCCTCTATTTTGGTTTGTCTGATGTTTTCTCATAGTTAGAATCAAGTTATTCACCTTTGGCAGGAATATCAGAGAGAATACTCTGTTCTAATTGTATCCTGATGTTCACATTTATCTCTGGCAGGTTTCTTTACTGTGAAATGATCCACTTTTCCTTTGTAATTAATAAGTATTGTAAAGGAGATATGTTAGTTTTAATTTTAATTTTTTTTTTTTTTTTTTTAGTCAAAGTCTCACTCTGTCACCCAGGCTGGAGTGCAGTGGCACACTCACAGCCACCGCAGCCTTGACCTGCTGGGCTCAGGCGATCCTTCCACTTCAGCCTTTCAATTAGCTGGAACCACAAGTGTCTACTACCATGCCTGGTTAATATTTTTTTTTTTTATTTATTGTAGAGACAAGGTCTCACCATGTTGTCCAGCTTGGTCCCGAACCCCTGGACTCAGGCAATCTCTCACCTCAGCCTCCCAAAGTGCTGGGATTACAAGCTTGAGCCACTGCACATGGCTAGGGAGATATTTTAAAGCCATGTACATTCCATTCTTCATTGAAATTTTAATTTATTCATTTATTTATAGCAATAAGTTCTCAAATATTCTCATTTTATTCCATTTGCCTTCGTTGTCTATCTTGTTGTTCATATTGCCTAGGTTTGTTTGGTAGAAGCCTCTTTGAGTTGGTTTCTATGTTCTTTTGGCAAGTCTTCTTATTCTTTTAGTCACTTCTTGCTTTTTGGCGCAAGATCTTCCAAGACCATATATACTTTCCCTGTCCCAGCCCTGGAATAAACCGTTTTTCAGGAAGCCCAGGTTAGTTTTATTGGAGAATAATATTTGGAAGTCAGGATCTATGTTTTAGTTGTACTTACTGTTATTGGGTGGCTTCCAGGTCCTCTTGTGGACAAAGCAAGGGGCTATGGGTTTGAATAACATACAAACACACACACACACACCACACACACACACACACACACACACTCACTCACTCACTCACACACACACAGAGAGAGATGTTCATATATACATACATGCACACTCATACACACACCTATACACCTGTGCATCTATGTTTATTTCTAAACCACTATTCTAATAATGAAGATAACTAAATTGATACTCCTGTTCTAATCCAATACCACATGATTCATTCTAGTTTTCTCCTTATATTTTGCAACTCCCTTCTCAGACAGAAAACTGGGTGGCAACATTTAGTTGCAGTAGGTAACCAATTGTGCACTTGTTAGGATGTCTCCTTCACACACGGATTTCCTCCTCATCTCATATGGGCTCTACACCCAGGCCAGCCCATGGAGAAGGTTATATTTCTTGGTTCTACCTAATGGCTTTAATCTAAATTGTTCAACAAGAGGAACAGGATGGTCAGGTTACTTTTTTTAAAATGTATATTTGTTTTATTTAAGTTTCTCGGCAGATCCCCAAAGGGTGTTTGTGTCGTTGGAGGGGATAGATTAGTATAAAATATTCAGTGAATCAATTTCATCACATATCCTGTTTTGCATGGATTGGACTTTCATTTTAATAAACCATGACTTTCTGAATTTCAGGAGAATAACCCCTCCTTTGTCCTTTACTTCCTCCTTTTGGTCTTCTATGGCTGGAGCTAGCATTTTGTTTTATTAGCTCAGGGGAATCTGTCTGCTTGTGGCCTTCCGATCTTCAAAGAATAAACCATACTGACTTGGTAATACTGAGTTTTTCTTTAAGAAAGAGATTTTCTTGGAAGCACATAAAGTTTGCTTTAAAAACTTGATTCAGTGTGTCTATAAACCCTGGACATCAAAGGGTTGAAGCTGGGACGGGAGGGAGAAGCAGGCAGTGAGGAAGGAGGTGGGGAGAAAGAAATATCAAAGAAGAAAGCCCAGGAGAGTAAGGAGGCTGGTGGGGTGTGAGACTAATTTATAAAAGGAAGCCAGAGGTGGTCACCATACTGCTCTGAAAACATCTTGACTTTCTCCAGTAACCTTGAGCTGTTTCTCTGTGCTGACCTTAAGCATGGTGGTCAGGGGCAAAGTGCCCAAAGATCTGAAAATATTCCACCAATTAGTGGTTTGTTTTTCCTGGAATAAATATGATAGTCTTATATTTCACCAATTCCAGTAAAAACTTCTATTTTCCCCCTTTATAATTTCTTTTATTTTGCCCATCTTTAAAGAAAAAAAATATCTTCTTTTGATCTTACTTGCTGAAACCTTATTCTCTTCTTCTATTTAAAGATAATCTCATGCTATGCCAATTTCTGCCTTCCCATACACTTATGGGCACTGTCCAATCAATTTTTATCACCGCAACTCTATCGAGAATGCTCTGGTCAAAAGCAATAAGCTCCATGCTACTCATCAACTAACTTTTATCAATCCTCATTTTACTGTTGGTCATTTCCTTCATCTTATATACTTTCTTCACTTGGCTTTCAGGATATCAGCCTTGTGGTTTCCCTTCTTCTCCCTTATTTCCTTTCTTCTCTGCTGCTTTTCTTTCTGTCCTCTGGATCATTAATGGTGGACTATCCCAGGGCTCGGGCTTGTCATGCCTTTTCAGTCTATATCCAATCTCTTGGTGACCTCATCCAGGTTATGGCTTTAGATGCCATCTCTAAACAGGGGACTCCCACATGGATATCCCCAGCCCTGACAACTCCCCTGAGCTCTACCCTCACCTATCCAACTGCTTGGTTGAGTTCTTCACTTGGATCTCTAACAGTCATCTCAAACTCATCCCTTCCATAGCTTAATGCCTCCCTGCAAACAAGCAAACACCAAGCCAACCAAACAAACAGAACTTACTCCTCCTGCAGTTTTCTGTATCTCAGCTAATAGCAACTCCAGTCACTCAGTATAAAACCCTAGGAAGTTTTAACCTTTATTTCTCCTTCTCTGACTTGCCAAAAATAAGCAAATCCTACTCACTCTAATTTCAGTATATACAGAATTTGACCTTACCTCCACCATTATTCTGGCCCAAACCATTATCATCTCTTAGCTAGATGTTTATAATGGCCTTCTAACATGTCTCCCCATTTTTCCCTTCCCTGCTTTAGTCTCTTCCCAACATACTAATTCAAGGAACTTTTTTTAATGCTGTGTCTTGACACACCTCTGCTCAAGACACAGGTGCCTGTCTGTCTCTCTGAGTCAATATCCTTACTCTGAGAGCAAATGTCCTAATGAGAGCTTAAAGACCCACACTGATTCCTCTAGCACTTGTATCAGTTATTCTCTCTGCCTAAAAAACTTTTTTCCTAAAAAACTGCATTGCCCACTCCCAAATTAGACTGCATCTCTTCTCAACATTGTCAGTCCCCACCTTCTGCTTTATATGTTCAAGGTACTTATGACCACTTTACACACTATTTCGTATTTTTTTCAGTTTGCTCCCTTTTCTCTCCCACTTTCCCTTATTCACAGTAAGGCTCCATGAGGTCACTGGTTCGTATATGGTTGTTGTTCTATCTCCTACCCCTTTTCTGATGCAGCATTGTCAGCTACAGGTGAAATATAATTTCTAAGGAGTATATATGGCACCACAAATCCCCAGAATTATTGGCATGGCATCCAGGAGCAGCCATGGTGAACACAAGGTCTTCCAATGTTGCTTGAAAATATTTACAGGGAGGACTGGTGAGCCACTCCATGTGCATCGACTGTGAAGCTTCCAAAACAATCTCCTCAAGTTCCTTACTGAGACAATTCTTAGATCTTCCAGATTGTTAGGCCTATTGACTGGAGTGTCTCACCAAGATGTTGATGAATCCAGATGTCCAAGTTGAAAAATGCAAAAGAAGCCGGGCTCCATGGCTCAGCCTCTAATCCTGCACCTTTGGGAGGCTGAAGTGAGTGGATTGCCTGAGCCCACGGGTTCAAGACCCACCTGGGCAGCGAGACCTCATCTCTACAATAAATTTTAAAAAAATCAGCCGGGTGTGGTAGCGCATGCCTGTAATTCCGGCTACTTAGAAGGCTGAGGTGGAAGGATCACCGGAGCCCAGCAGTTCGAGGCTGCGGTGGCCGGGAGTGGCCACTGCACTCCAGTCTGGGTGACAGAGTGAGACTCCAACTCAAAAAAAAAAAAAAAAAAAGAAAAAAGAAAAATGCAAAAGATGCCCAGGCTACCCTGCTATCTGAGCTGGCTGAAGTCAAAGGAAGCAGCACCTGCTTCAGATCCCTAGGACAGCGCTTGGCAGAGACCCTGGTTGAAGTGGGAGGCAGAGGCAGCAAATACAGAGAAAGCATAAAAAGATGCTTTTCAGAAGAAACAGAGCAGGACAATTCTACCAGCCCACACCCTTGGAAGCAAAGGATGCAGAAAAGGCTTAATGTCTGTTGAAATGTCATGTCGGGTGCTGTGTCTTGGCTTGGCTTAAGTGTTT